TATGTTGACAAAATCGTTTTGGTTACGCCTCATTTAATATTCTGAATAGATTAGAAGTATATATATATATATATATATATATATATATATATATATATATATATATTTTTCTACCATTCAATATATATATATATATATATATATATATATATATATATATATATATGTTGAGAATTGTGTTCTTTATAATTATAAATATTAGTCGTAAGTAAATTCATTCGAACGATGTATAATCCCAAGTAACGGTAAATGTTGCGAATATCTTGTACATCTGCAAGACAACCCTTAATAAAAGTTTACATGATAGCTCATGTACCTTCGGCGAGCTATCATAAAACTAGAAATATTGGAAATATTTTAAAAATGTAAAAATATAGGTTAGTTAGTCCTGAACTCTTGAACAAGTAACAACTAAAATATTATAATAAAGCGCTAAATAAATTTTTGTATCTAAATAAATTCTTTGATTTCACACACTTCCAGAAGAGCTACAAATGTTCTAATTCTCGTCGTTAAGTATTTCAAATAAAACTCTAATCTACTCAAGAAGTTATTAAAAATTGGTTACATTTAATCATTAATTAGTAAATTCATTACTAACGTCTCTTCAATATATACATGTATATATTATTGAACCGGCTACTAAATAAATTTTAAAATCCCAAAAGAGCATTTAGAATACATCATTAGCCATACAAGATGTTTCGGAAGCCATTCGACGACACTTCAAAAATAATTTTATTCAAGTTTATTCTTGGAACTAGTCGTGTATGGTATTATGTAGTTTATTACATATAAAGTTTAGTTTTATTAAAGTCGTCAAAAAAAAATCCATTAACTATTTACAATAACTATTCAGCATCATTCGCAACTTTACTTCCAAAATCAGTCCCGAATTTTTGGTTGATGAAAAATGTTACACTTATCAGATAATTATAAAGAAATGTCTCTGCCGATCGTCTCAGAAAACTTATCAGAGAGTTCTATCAAATGGTTTTTGAATTTTTAAAATCGGTTCAGCCGTTTTTAAGAAAACATCGACAGAAACTAAAATTTTGGCTTCGACACACACATACGTGAGTTATAGCAATTTGGGTCTCATCCTATTCATAACGACTTGAAATTTCAAAATAAATTTGACGATTTGAATTTTCTAAGTAAATCATAAACTTCTCCTTCAGGAAATTCAGAATCATAATAGTTCCAAATTTTCGACTAAAACGTCGATGTAAAATGTTGCACTTATCAGATAATTATGAAGAAACGTCTCTGCCGATCAGCACAGAAAACTTATCACAGAGCCGAATCGAATGGTTTTTAAATTTTTAAAATCGGTTCAGCCGTTTTTGAGAAAACGTCGACAGAAAGTTAAATTTCGGCTTGAAAACACACATACGTGAGTTAAAGCAATTTGGGTCTCATAACGAGTCGAAACTTCAAAATAAATTTGACTATTTGAATTTTCTAGCTAAATTATGAACTTTATCAACTAAAACGTTGATGGAAAATGTCGCAGTTATCAGCTAATTATGAAGAAATGCCTCTGCCGATCGTCCCAGAAAACTTATCAGAGAGTTCTATCGAACGGTTTTTAAATTTTTAAAATCGGATTAGCCGTTTTCAAGAAAACGTCGATAGAAAGTGAAATTTCGGCTTAGGAACACACATACGTGAGTTATAGCAATTTGGGTCTCATTCTATTCATAAGAACTATCAATATATTATTTATCAGATTAATTTATATGTACGTTTGAAAGTGTTTGTGTATGTGAGCGAGTGAATGACATATGCCATCTGATTGCTATTAAAAAAATAAAATAAAAAAAATCTATTCAACACTAAATAAATTTCGAAATAAATTTGACAATTTGGATTTTCTAGCTAAATCATAAACTACTCCTTCGGAAAATTCAAAGTAATAATAATTTACTATATATAATAAACAAAGTCGATACTATACAATGAATTTCTCATGGTCTATATTTGGGCATGAGGTGCCGAAGGGCAATAAAATCAAATGCTTATATAAACAAATACCGAAACCAAGTATCATATAAACAATTTGAATAAACAGTTCCATATTATTATATTTATATTTTCTCACACATGAAATAATTTATAAACCGCGAACAGATGTTGAATGTTTACATTATAACATATACACATAGATGTATCATTCGATTTTATATAAACATGATTCATTTTGTTTGCATTATACAATGATACACATTGTTAGATTAAAATGACGATGATGATATTATTATATTAGGATTTGAAATTAATAAATTGTATACAAACATACATACAAATAGGGCTTTCAATACCGTACTAAAATCTGAATACCGGTATTCGATATTTGAAATTTGTAATACCGGGATCCCGGTATTAATACCGGTATTATCAATAAAAATTTATATTTTCAGTCATATTTTTAGTTACTGCAGTTCTTATATTGACATATTAACATTATTATTGTTTTAAAATGAGTACATATTAATTATTTTATCACATAGAGTAGATGAATACAAAGAAAACGTGCAAGTAAACAATTATGTATTAACTTATATGTTACACTTTACATATAATAGGTTCGTATGGAATTACATACTTAATAACTTATACTTTGTTTATTAAAATATGTTTCTAAAAACTATAAACAATCAATTGCTTAATCTTTGAGGGCCGAATTTTAGTACAAATATAACAAGCCGAAAACCCTTTCATCATGCTACACTTGTCGGCACAATTGTCATAAAGAAATAATACGAGTACATGATTAGTCGATATGAATTAGTACTTAGTATAGTGTATTTAGTTTATAAACAAATCATAAATAGACATCAACACTTCACAAAGGCTTATAGAAAATTATTGTATTTACTGATTGCCTAATAAATGAATAAAATTATTCTATACTAGCCGGCCCGACAGACTTCGTCCTGTCAAAAAAAATTGTAATGTGGCGGTGTTTTGTGCCTACCTCTTTTCTATTCTTTGCCAAAAATTATCCTGAACAGAACCGTCACCCTGGTAATATTTCGGTGTGAATTAAAAATAATTATAAATAAAACACTATAAGCATTTAAAAGTAAGTAATTTTAATAATGTAATCATAATTCAAAAATCAGTTCAATTTTTATTGTAGTGCTTTGTGATAAACGATGTTTTTTGTTTGATTACCTACTGGCGCATAGACAAACAAATCTGATGGTTTTCCAATACGGGAACAAACAACATACAATTTTCCATGTGAGAAACATGGATTTTCTAAATTAATACCACAAACACTTAATGATACCATAAACGCACTGGAAACGCATTGGGATGCATGGTGCGAGAGCATCTTATGCTTTATACTATCCTTTGAATATAGTTGGTCGATATTTCACAACATTATAATTGCCGATCCAACCTTTAATTGAAGATTGTGAGGTGACAATCCTAGCAAATCCAGCGAGTTTAAAAACTCCGGTGGATCGTCTTGGTTAGTTGCCGAATCAACTGATTCGCCTGTAATTTGTTCTTGAATTTTGAAATTTAATTAATTTACATCAATGTTTTTGGCTGTCTATATAGCTTGATTAATAGAAAGATATTTCTATGTTTATATAAAAATATTCAAAATTAGATTATAAAAAACTACACAAAATGTCATGACAATGATCTATCATTGTTTTTTTTTTACAAATTGCGTTGCCTACTCGATTAAAGAAGAAAAGGGCTGTTTTTAGGGTTTTCCCGGCAATTATTCGTTTTTTTCTTGCCGTAACAACCATCCTTGGACTTCAACGAACATTTTAAAAAAAGAATTGGCCAAATTGGTCCAGGCGTTGTTGAGTTATGCGCTTACCAACACATTTTGCGATCCATTTTTATATATAAGATAAGATACCAGTTTCAAAACGGGAAACCTTAAATTCATTTTTCACTGATGACAAAAGTTTAATTAAAACTTTAGGCTTGATTTCGGATCCCATGAACGATATTTTTAAAATTTCCTCTCCGTCCAACTTATCGGAAACCAACATTACAAAGGAGTAATGTTGGCCACAATTGCACAAATATTTGATCCATTGGGGTTAATAGCTCCTATTACAATTGTGGGGAAAATGTTAGTGCAGGAATTGTGGAAGGAGAAATGTGATTGGGATGAGTCCATTACACCTCAGTTACAGAAAAAATGGATCAAATTTAAAAACGATTTACCAAATTTAAAAAATATTTCTATACCGCGATGCATTCTGAAACATTTATCTATTTCTGAGATAGAATGCCACGGGTTTGCAGACGCATCTCTATCTGCATATGGCGCATGTATATATATTAAAATTTTTTATTCCAACAAAACTACATCTACCAATTTATTATGCGCTAAATCTAGGGTAGCACCAGTAAAGAATATTACATTACCGCGTCTTGAACTGTGTGCTGCGCTTTTGTTATCTAAATTATATAAATATGTATGTACTAATGTTGACATCAAATTTAATAATTCCTTTTTATGGAGCGATTCTACTATCGTGTTGGCTTGGATCAAAACTGACCCAAGTCAATTAAAAATGTTTGTAAGTAACCGTGTAGCCGAAATTATTGAAAACTCTCCAAAATGTATTTGGAGACACGTATCTAGCGAAGACAACCCGGCTGATATTGTCTCACGAGGTATATCAGCAAGTGAGTTGCAAAATTGTAGTTTGTGGTGGAACGGACCAAGTTGGTTATCGCTAAATTCCAATTGTTGGCCAAATAAATTCATAGAAAATACTGAAAATATACCAGATATTAAAGTTTTTACCATTACTAACGAAAATGATTTTAGTTTATTTTACACGCGTTTTTCCAAATTTTCCACGCTAGTTAGAGTAGCTGCCTTTATTTTAAGATGGTTGCCAAAGTCCAAGTCTAATAGAGAATATTTAAAATATTTAACTACGAATGAAATTCATAATTCTTCAAAATATATTATTTTACGCGTACAACAAGAGAGCTTCGGAAGTATTATGGATGGCTTCGGAACTGATCAGAACTTATATTCTAAATTAAAACCTTTGAATCCTTTTATTGATGGCGAAGGCTTGCTGAGAGTTGGTGGAAGGCTCGAATATGCTAACATATCGTATGAACAAAAGCATCCTATAATACTTCCCAAGTCTCATTATGTTACAGAATTATTTTTACGCGGAGAACACGAAAGACTTCTGCACGCCGGCACTCAAACCACACTTTCGGTTGTGAGACAAAAATATTGGCCAATTGATGGCCGCAATACAATTAAAAAATTAATTCATAAGTGCGTTAAGTGCGCTAGATTTAAGGCGGCGGCTGCAGAACAACTTATGGGCAGTTTACCAGTCGATCGTGTTAATGTGAAACGTCCGTTTTTAGCTGTAGGGGTAGATTATGCAGGTCCAGTTATGCTGCGAGCGAGCCGGCAACGTAAGGCTCCTCAAATTAAAGCGTACATTGTTTTATTTGTGTGCATGTCCACTAAGGCAGTTCATTTAGATTTAGTTACGGAATTATCGACAGAAGCCTTTATAGCTACTTTGAAAAGATTTGTTTCACGGCGCGGTAAGTGTTCGATCATTCATAGCGATAATGGCAAAAACTTTGTAGGTGCTAATAAAGAATTATCTGACTTATTTAAATTTTTTAAAGCAGAAGAAAATAAGCGACCTTTAATTTCAGCCGTTACACAATTAGGTATTACTTGGCAGTTTACACCTACGTATGCTCCACACTTTGGCGATTTATGGGAAGGGTCGATAAAAATAATGAAATCACATTTGCGTAGAGTGATTGGGTCGCATTGTTTAACTTACGAGGAATATGTTACATTGCTTACACAGGTCGAGGCAGTACTAAATTCACGTCCTTTATTAAGTATGTCGGATGACAGCACAGATGCGTCATATTTATCCCCCAGTCATTTTTTAATAGGTGATATAATGACTCCTGTACCAGAACCATATAATCCAAATTTGAGTGCAAATAAATTAAAAATTTATAAACAGATTACGACCATGCGTGATCAATTTTGGAAAACATGGTCAAATCAATATTTAAACCAATTACAGACCCGACATAAATGGTCAGACAGTTGTTCAAATTTAAAAATTGATAGTGTTGTATTAATTAAGGAAGACAATGCACCACCATTGTACTGGCAACTTGCCAGAATTGTTGACATAAAACCAGGTGCAGATGGTAAAGTTAGAGTCGTTAATATTAAAACTAATAAAGGAATTTATACCAGACCAATAACTAAAATTGTACCTCTTCCGATAGAATAAATATATGAAATATCATATCTTATAAGTTAAATTTAAATAATGTATTGTTTTAGAATGTTAGAATAGATTTTTACTCAATTAGAATATAATAATTTAAAATGAATTATTATTAATTACTATTTTATTTTTATACAGTCCACTTTTCGAAAATATGTGTAGCAAATTGAGATTATGATTGTTATTCATTTATGTATTTTAGGTTAAGTTACCATTTTGATAAATGTTAATGTAATATTCCTAATTAATATTATTAATGTAAAATTTTGGATGCTTTGCATCGCCCGGGAATATGGACAAATGTATTTGTGTATTCAAATTTCGCGCGGGTCTTATCTTTGTAATACAGAGTGAAATGTGCTATGTTACTATGCGATTAGGCTTGTTGTGTTTATATACGTCCTGTTCCATTTTGTACTTCAAGGAGACCACATCCAGCAAATAAATCTTATTATATTTTAAATTGTGTTTTGGTTAATGTTATTATTTATTTTATTTATTACCACTATGATATTTATTTGTATGTATGTATGTATGTTGTTGCGGCTCGACTTAATGCGTCAGATTGTATCATCTGTTTTCCAGGTTTGTATTCTACTTTAAACTGAAATCTTTCTAAACGCTCAAACCATCTAATCACTCGAGCAGATCCAAATTCTTTCTTGTTTTCAGTTCCTTCATTGCTTTATGATCACTCTTAAGAGTGAATTCCTTTCCAACTAAATAATATTGGGATTTTTCCATAGCCCAAAGTGAGGCTAGAACTTTTCTTTCGGTTATAGAGTAGTTCCTCTCTTCCTTTGTCAACAACCTAGATATAAATGCGACCGGTTTGCTATTTTGACTTAAAACGGCACCCAACCCAGTGTTAGAAGCATCGGCTTCTAATACGTAACGAACATTATCATCAGGAATCGTAATCTATAATTTTCCTTTCCAAATTTTTTTTACAGAATTGAATATTTCCCTCTCTTTTGACGTCCATGTAAATTTCTTGTCTTTGTTTAACAATGTATATAAATCTTTTAACTTGTCCGATAAATTCTCAATAAAAGTTCTATCATAATTAATTAATCCCAAGAATCGCTGCAATTGCTTCTTTGTCTTTGGTTCTTCATAATTGACGATTCCATTAGCACGATCTAAACATGGTCTTACGGTGTTGTAAGAATTATCAGATAACCAAGGAATTTTACCTCTTCCACACACTCGACTCGCTTCGATGAGTTTTCCTCTAAGCCATATTCTTACAATCTATTCACTACTAAATTCAGTATATTATTATGTGTTTCTTTGTTTTCTCTAAAGATGAAAATATCATCTATGTATACCAGACATATTTTACCTAATAAGTCTTTTAGGATCAAAGTCATCGCCCGCTGGAAGAATGCAGGACTATTCTTGTAACCTCGGGGCATTCTGCAGAATTGCATCAATCTGCTCCCTGTAAAAAATGTCGTTTATTCTCGGTCACACTCTCGGATCGGTACTTGAAAGAAACCATCTTTCAAGTCAATTTTAGAAAAATATTTTTTGTCCTTTAATGTACTAATAATTTCAAATATCTTTGGCATCTCAAATCCATCTAAGTCGACAACTTCATTTAACTTTCTAAAGTCGACACAAAAGCGTAAGTCTCCGCTTTTTTTTCTAACCAAAACAACGGGATTCAGCCAGATAGATTGGCTTTCCTCTATTATCCCTCTTTTCTAAAGATCTGTAACTAATTTCTCAAAATCTTGTTTGTTTTTTTGGTTTCTAATTGGGCGTGTCCAACTAATCGGAGCTACACACTTTGTATTTATTGTACAACCTATTGGAAAACTTTTATCTCCTTCTAGTTTTTTGCACAAAGCATTGCTAAATAGAATATTAGCATCAATGTTCTTTTCGACGACATAAAACATTTCCGAATATTTCTTACTCTTGTATTCAAAGTTATTCTCACTTTTCTTTTAATCTTTATCTCATCACCATTTATCAGAGTCAGAATATCTTTGGTTTGGTAAAATTCTAAGTTACCGATGTATTTTGCCATTCTGTTGGTAATTATGTTTTCGCATGAATCACTATTAAAAGTCACTAAAAACTTTTCACCATTAATTTTTATCATTTTGGTTTCTATTTCATTTTTTCTACTTTTATTTTTGTCAACGTTATTTATTTCGTTTTTCTTTCTTGGACACTTGTTTGCATAATGTCCTTTAATTTTACAATTAAAACAATAAGTCACCTCTTGACTTGAATTTCTCTCCATGCTCTTTAAGTTAGCATTAAACTTACCTTTCTTCTTTTCTGATTTTTTTCGACCAAGTTCTCCACTGAAGTTTTCAAACTCTTTAACTCGTTGTATTACTACGTTAAAATTTACTTCTTGAGCATATAATAAAAGCTGCAAGTGCTTAGGCACATAATCTTTTTTTAATTTATTTATAATGATTTCCTCAAAATATCCCCGATGTTCTGCCCACTCTTTTAACCTAATTAAAAATTCCGACCACTTTTCTTCTTTGAATTTCTTGACAGATTCGATGTTCTGTGCTGTACAAAATTCAATTATAAAGTGTTTAAAGCTTTGCCAGTCTTTCGGCAAATCATCATCGACTCTTTTTTCATAGAAATAATTTTTTAATTCCAGACTACTATTTACTGTCATGTCGGTCATCTTGCTTCGCATCGATTTATCTTCAAACCCGCTGCTTCCTTCTAAAAAAATAACTCCAGTTTAACTTGCCTCTCGTTCATATTCCTTTTAAATATTTCGTTTGAAACATTCTTGGTATTTGTATAAGCTTTTTTGATTGCAAATTTTGTTGCAATACTTTCTTCTCGCTTATTATGTTTTTGTTTTTTATCATATGAAGACTTTTCTTCATGGATGGATATGTTCTTACCAACTTGTTTCTTTTTATAATTAAAAGTATTTTTAGGAAAAGGCATAATTTATTTAAAAATTGGTTTATATATTTTTACTCCTTAAATAAAACCAATAAATATTTTTCCCCTTTTTAATGATGATCATTTCCTAATATGGAAATGGCCAATCAAAGAGAAAGGATACTTGTAGTATCCAACTGAAGGTGTAGCGAAAAGATCTTCGTATAAATTTCCTATCTCTAAGCAACAAAAAAAAAACAATAAGTTTAACAGATAGAAGAATATTAAAATGATGTTTCCAAAATTCTTTTAATGTTATTCCATCATTAGACGTAGATAAAAAACAACTTTCAAATAAATATTTTGTATACAGTTTTTTAAAATTGCTGATAATTTGCTGATCCATAGGTTGTAACAATGGAGTTTTGTTTGGAGGAAGAAACTTAAATTCAATAAATTTAAATTCGGGACTAATTTGCTCTTTTATACAAGGTAGATGGGCTGGAGCATTATCCATTATTATAAAGGTAATAATACATTTTTGTCTAGAAAATATCTTTTTTAAAAATTAAATATGCGAATTCCTTTAGGGTTCAGAAAGTATTTCTTAAAATTGTTATGATTTATTTTTTACTAACACTTTGACTCTAGTAAAAATATTTTTATGTGGCTTTCTATATTTTTAATAGTGTCTTTTAATGCACTTTTATCATTCCATAAATTTTTGAAATAAGGGTAAAAAAAGAAATATCATTTATTTAAAATAGGAAGAGTTAGTACAGTAAGACCTCTATATTAGAATTCCACGACGATATCCACTCGGCCAATCTGCTGTCAGTAAGACCTCTATATAAGTCACTAATTTTTTTATCAGTTTTTATATAAGTCAATAATTAAAAAAAAATAATAATAATTCAGGTTAAAATTGAAATATATAAGTCACTAAAATAAAAAATTTAATTTTAAATTATATAAAGTCATATCCTTGATTTTATATATGCCACCTAAAAGAAATTGCATAACTTTAGAAACAAAAAATAAAATAGTTTCAATGTTTGAAAAAAAAAAAAAATCTGTATCAGACATCTGCAAAGAATTCCAGATATGTAAACGCACAGCATTCAGGATTAAAAAGAACGCAGCAAAACTAAAAAAATTTAACAACCCTAAAAACAAAGAGACGAAAAGACTTCGTAAAAGCAAATTTGAAAAAATAAATAATTTTATTGAAAAGCTTGTTCGTGAATGCAATGAAGAATACATACTATAAATTATAATCTTGTCAAAACTGATGCGCTTGATTTTGCTAAAGAAAATAAAATTGAAGATTTTACAGCTTCAAATGGGTGGATTAAGAGCCTTAGAAAATAAGCGAATCTATCATCAGTTTGCATAGTAGGAGAAAGCGGATCTGCGGATACTAAAGCAGCTGCGGAGTTTAAAAATGGTGTTTTTCCTAAGCTTGTAGAAGAATTTTTAAAGAAAGACATTTTCAATCTAGACGAAACTAGCTTGTTTTACAAACTCTTACCAAATAAAACCATTAAATCTAAAGGATAGAAAATAAAGGGACTCAAACAAAATAAAGAAAGAATAACTGTTTGTTTTTGTGTCAATGAACAAGGTGAGAGCTTTCCGCCTTTGGTTCTAGGCAAAAGAGCCAATCCCAGATGTTTCAAAAATTTCAACTTAAATTCCATAAATATTATTTATAGTTAACTCTATTAACTGAATATCTAAGACTTATAAATGAAAAGTTACTTTTAGAAAAGAGAAAAATTTTAATTATAATGGACAATTGTCCGGCACACAAAAACTTGGAAACCTTTAGCAACATTAAAATATGTTTTCTTTCTCCTAATACAACATCCATTATTCAGCTTCTTGACCAAGGCATAATACGAGCCTTTAAAGCGAATTACAAGAAATTTTATATTAGAAGTGTGTTTTTATCTAGCAGTAGGGAACGGGCAAGCTCATAAAAATGTCAGTGAAAACGCCATGACTTCTCTGGGTGGCGAAAAAGTGCAAACACGGTGCCCAAACAAGATGGCGTTTGACAGGTTTTATTTCGTATTTTGACAGGTTTTATTCAAACTTATGTGCTTGTTAAAGATGGTTATTGC